GTGTCTGTCTGTCTGTCTGTCTGTCCGTCTGTCCGTCCGTCCGTCCGTCCGTCCGTGCGTGCGTGCGTGCGTGCGTGCATGCGGGCGGGCGGGCGGGCGGGCGGGCGGGCGTGCGTGCGTGCCTGCATGCATGCATGCATGCATGTGTGCATTTATGTATGTGTGTGTGTATTTACATACAGAAAATCTACATGCCTTTTTGGCTTGTTCGTTTATGCGTGTGCGTTCTGCACTGCTTGGACATGCTTGCATGCATGCAGACGAACAAACGTAGGTACATGCAACAAAGCTACGGATCCATAGACCGACGACACGAACAGATAGAACGGATGTCGCTGTCGAACTATTATATGGGATCATGGGCTTTAGCGCTTCTCTACTGAGAGAAAGAAACCTCAAGCCGTTTAGGGCTAAGGGCGATGCTTTTTCTCTGGCCCTCGCTCTCTCATGTTTTCGCCAGGGCTGGGGCGACAACGAGTCTCACGAAGGTGCCCCGCTCACGTTATTGCGGGCTCCAGAGTGCAAAAGCAAACGAGGCAAAGCGGCCCCCTCGCTGTCTGTCTCTCCCTTCTTCCTCAGGGCATTGGGGGACTGTTTAGATTCGACCCCCCGGCCACATTGATGGGCCCATGGGGCTTTGAGGAGATCGTGGGAGCGTAGCACAGGTCGACATCAATATTGTCTTGGATAATTCCCCGATGCTTAGGCGGACACCTGCACTATAAGTACTTCAGAACAGATAACCTTGAGACGAATGCAGGGCTTGAATCAAAGGTTTCACGCGCTTCCACGGTTTGCCGCTTTCATGCCATAGGACATCACTCTCTCCGTATACACATTGCACGTGCTTCCACCAGACTAAGACCAAGTTCCCCGAGACATGGCATCGACAACACAACACCACTGCCTTGTTACTCTGTCCGGATGCCTCGCTCACGAAGTGTGTCTGTGGAAGTGTCACTGGAGAAACATTACCAATACCCTGTCACGACGGAATCGTTAACCAAATGCACACTAAGTAGGAACGAACAACTTTTCATATGTTCCCCAGATGACAGCTTGGCACGGAACGTTGTTATATTAAAACTAACTTGTCATGACATACATGCTGGAGCCACTATCGAAAGTGGAGATTAAGGCCACCATACAATTATGCAAAACTTATTCCTCCTCGGCTCAAGCATGTGTCACTTACAACAGGAGAAGCGAAGGTGTAAACTACACGTGCACGCTGGGGCCCCTGCATCAAACAGGGGGAAAACAACAGGAATCCCTAGAAAGGGCGAGGAACATTGCAGGTTCCCCTACTCTGGGCTACGAGGGTCGTCACGTGCAGCAACATGATGCTCCACGTCATATGTTGCTAAGCTCATGGGGACAGTTGTCTATGCAACCGGTAAGTGAGCACTGAAAACAGCACTTAACCATCCCCCCAAGGTGTTCCTAGATTCCCACGCTCACATCAGAAGCTTGCGGGTGATCATATAGTAGCTCTCGTGTGTCCCCCGCCACATCTCTTTGGCCATGGGCTCACATCCCACGCTCATGTAGTGCACGGCCAGAAGAGGTCGCCGTCGGTGGCTGTCGTTTGATTGGTCGTCCCCAGCTCTCTCTCTCTCTCTCTCTCTTTCTCGTTTCTATTTCTGAAAGGGCATGGGGCCATGTCAGAGATTCCCACCTCTCTCTCCCTCTCGGCCTAGCCTGCGAGATAAGAGAGGGGCCGGGCTCCTCGCAAATGGAGGCATGCTGCCGGCGCATCGTTTCAGCCACCTGTCCAGTCTCGCTGCCAACGTGAAGACGGAACCCATGCCAAACTGGCCAGGTGCACCACATCCGAACATGCGCCAACAACATTTGCCCGTGCACCTGGAACATTGGATTTCACGGCTAATCGGTGCGAGGCCATCCGAAGAGCTGGGACGCAGGCCCCACTGGCGCAGTGATTTTACAATTGCTGCTTCTGGACCCACGACGTACACCAAGGCCATCAGATTGTTCCTGAGTGCCTGTGGGGAGTTGAGTTGCGAACGACCATCCAAAAAGGGCCACCATTGCTCCCTCCCGCCTCCTCTGTGAATCGCTGTTCTTTGTCCTGTAGCCAACCCTTTGAGAATCATCGTGGCTTGGGAAGTACTGATTGTTGCAACATGTGGACTCCTTTGCAACGATCGACACGGCAATCTCCATGGTCTCGCCCAACTGTGCCTTGCATTTACAAGTTTCAAGACTCTGTGCCAGGGACAGCATGTACCCACCTCCATGGTCTCCGAATTTTGCCGGAGCCAACACCCGACGTTGGGCGCAGCGCAGCAAACCTTGAACTGCCCAGGCATGAGCAAGGAGCTTGCAGTGGCCATCCGCAAGCTGGGCCGCAGCTGGGCACTGAAGCAGTCTTGGGGCGCAGCTGCAGCTAGCAATTTGACACCCTCCTCTCTCAAGTAGGAGGCCTCCAGACTCCCCATCTCGTTTATGGGCTTCACTGAACTGCAACAAACTGGGCCTGCTGATTCCAACCATTCTCCTGGCTCTTGGCAAGCGTCAGGGCCTGCAAGTCCCCATACCCATTCCGGACTCGACGGGCACATGCCCCAGACTTCAGGCCTTAGTTGCAGCCTGCAAGCAATTGAAGAGGTGCTCCTCGCAACGTCAGAGTCAGAGTCTCTAGCTTGTCATGCCTCATCCGCGCAATCGTCGGAACCGCTCATCAACAAAAGCCTGGTTTCATTCCTTTAAATCGAGCGAAGCTCGAGACAGATCAGCCCAAGCATATCTCCACATTTAGGGTGTAGACTCGCGTGGACAGCGTAGAGACATTCGAAGTTGCTACCGTAGCATTGCTAGTGCCAGACTGGACAGCGATATTGTGGATGCAAGTCGGGTGCGTCTCCTCCGTCACTGTGGTGTCAACGCCGTGCCTTGCCATGACATGAATGCCCACATCCACTCTCAGCGCAGCTTGGCTTCAGTTCCCATCTCCACAAGCATTGTGAGCCCTGGACTGCGCCACGGCGCTCAAGGCACCGCACGCACTCGTCCAAACGATCTTGGCTGCGCCCAACACTCGCAACACACTGCTTGAAGGAGTGCTCTAAGTGGACTTAGTCACTCCGCGTAGTCTCTCACGCTGAGGGTGAGAGATCCGGCAGGTCGGTAAGTGCTTCGAAAGACATCTTTCAGAAGGCTTCTTGTCAAACAACCCAACTCGGTCTGCCCACCGAAGCGCGCCGAGGTCAGGGCCACGTTTTCGGGAAACGCAGTCATGGCGGACAGGACCTATGGGCAAGCGCCGTCAAGGCACGAAAATCCTCGGGCCTGAACATCCTGCAACGATTTTACGCCGTTATCTTCTTCCTCCTGAGCCCAACGTGTCTACTGCTACTACAACAGTGCCGCGACATGCCGCGACACTCATGCTGAAGATGGCCTCATTCCTATTTATGTTTGTCGTCGCAGCCACTGACAGAATAAGGAGGGGTGTGAAGACCATGATGAGCACGATGGTGAGTTCCACACGACGACCTTAATGGTGATGAGAGTGCTATTGTTGGTAGCAGCCAGAAGTACCTTGTAATGACATGGTAATGCCTCCTCGCGGGATGATTCCGGCGATGAATCGGTCAAAGTCCTTGCGTCCTCACTCGTCACTACTAAGTCACTAGTAGTGTAAAGTCGCAGCCATAATTGTAGCTGTTCTGGCAACAGCATACCATAATTCACAGATATCGTTAATACGTATTGCAATTCCAGATTGCATGTTCGTCGTGTTTGCCTGAGAATCCTCCAGCCTGCGAGCCCTCAACGCAGCAGGTCCCAGGGTCCCGGGCCACTTGGATGCAGGCCGTTCTGGTGACCATGTTGGCATCTTGCGCCTCGCAATATGCTGTTTACCATCGGTGATCACGAACTGCCTGTCATTCCGCACCTCTTGGTCGATTTGCTGGCTGTAAATAGCGGTGAGGGCTCTCAGGGCCGCAATCTGCACCTGTATCCGGGCGCACACAGGGCGAAGCCATCAGTTCAGCAGCTTTCCTCCTGCAATGGTTCTTGGAGTCTCCAGTACTCCCCAAGGCTGCGACAGAGAATGACTTCTGGTTGCATTGCATCTCTGTCACCTGGGATTCAGTCCCGCTGTGGTCAGAGCTAGGATACACAGTGACCTGGCAGCGCATGCATACTGATCCTTATGCCTCCGCGGCATTTTGGCCCCTGGCGATGGCAGCCACACCGTGGGAGAGGCCAGCCACCCACATCACCACCCCCTGCAGCAAGCCGCGTTCGCATGTCGATTTGTCCAAGCATCACACTTGGCAGGTCCGACTGTGAGTATACGGAGTGCGTGTTCGGAGAGGGGCGAGCGTTTGCGTCCATTGTCGTACAGGCCGGCAGGTGACAAGTCGATGACATGTAGCATCCCAATGGGGCTGCTTCGGACCTTTCGAGAAGCAGGATGTGCAGTCCGCACGTTTCGAGATCTGCCATCAGCGGCCAAGTAGATGTTACTACTGATGGCATGCCGAGAACCCCGCCAGAGAGTCACAGGCTCTGGTATTGTTTGGTACTGTTCTGCTTCGATCATGTAGAGGTTTTCGAGGGCCGGTTATGCAGCTTCATAAAATCTGACATGACTTTCGGAAGCTTTCGCAACAGTGAACACTCTGAGTGTGAATCGGAAGTAACCTGACTATGCAAGAAAGGCAGGTCTTTTGGCAGTACAGCCAAATTGACTTGCATCCACAAGAAGATGTTCCTGAACTTCCGACCTACAGTGGTACTCGAATGGTTGGGGTTCGCGGCGTTCCTTATTCAATCCTCCAGCTGGGAAGTGGCTATTCAAGCGACACAGCCTTTCTAAATGTGCGTATCTGCTCATGCAATGCGCCTGTAAACGGGCGTTGGACTCGTGCTCGGCACTAACCTCCCGGTGAACCATGCAATGCATTCGATGCAAGCAGCCTGTGTAGCCGGCCAGCATCCGAGCCTTTGACAACAAACTTGTTCCAGCGCCGGAACCGCTTGCTGCAGAAAGGCCCTCGCAGATCCTGGATAGACTCTTTCGTCAAGGGTGGATCTTGCAAGCGAGTTCTACCATTGACCGCTGCCTGGCCCGCACCACAGACTGGAGCCTCAGCTAAAGCAGTCTGGATGTAAGTGTCAGCACAACCTCAGATCGCCTGCGACCACATGTTGTGTAAGCCTTCAGATATCTCCCTCGCAGCAGGACAGTCTCAAGACCTGAACCCAAGTCTTGGAGCGGCACCCCTGTGACATCTCCAAGAACTCCCCAATAGCCTTCTTCGCGGCAAGAGTACACGTGACACATCCAACAGTGTGCGTTCCCAAGAGGCCTCCAGAACTGATTGTAGTAGGCCACTGTCGCCACCCTGCAGAAGTCTGGTGAGGCTTCATCATTGACGGCATAGACAAAGACTGGGAGAGATGCCAGGCACCCGGGGCAAATAGGGCATCAGATTAACAACTCCCCATGCCAGTCCAGTGGACAATGCTGCACGAGGGAAGACCTCCATGCCTGGAGTCTGCTGATAGTTTTGTTATACTCTAGAGTATGGAGAATAGCAGAGCAATGCACAGCAGACTTCATTCCAGCACAAGACTCTAATCCGTCTCCCGCGTCCTTGGCTTGGAGCAGCTCGATGAGAGCGGATGCAGCAACAAGGGCAGCCTGGAAGCAGAGGCCATGCAGAGCACAGCGATGTTGTTCTTGCATGGCTTGTGAGGCTGTGTGACACCATCGTCCCAATCCTCGAATCGACGGTCGATTGCGTGGGAGGCTAATGAACTTGAAGCTCCAATGAGTCTCGATACTCTGTTAACTGATATGGTGGTGCCTGCATGCATCTGCCGATTGACACGTCATTCAACCCAGAGATGGGTGCAGCTTGCCGGCGTCTTGAATTCGAGACAGACCATTGCTTATAACTTAAGGCAGCTTATAGCTGAAGTTACTTGTAGGCGCCCGTAACAGCCGAACGTCCTGCCGCTCTCGTGTTGTTCGTTTAGTTCATGTGCAGCATACTCAGGGTACAAACAGCACCATGTCTTCATCAAAGCAGGCGCCTCGCGCAGAGGTGCGATACCCTGCCAGGACCGCCGCAGTTTCAGAAGCTTGTCTCTGCATGACGGACTCACGAGTGTAGAAGTTTCCCAGACACTTGTGCATGAGCAGATCAGCCACACGGTGCTTCCGAAACATGCAATACGTACTGTTTAGACCTGCGCCCACGCAGCTAGCTGGCGAAGGACTGCGACATGCAGACCCGAACGCTTCTTGCGAGCTTCTTCTGTCACGATTCTCACATGACTTGTGTCTGCCTGGTCTCGTGCTTGTCAAATTATATGTAGAACATGGCATGCGAGGTAGGAGGACAGGCACATGTAGACACGACGCTATCGAGACTGGTCATGAAGACAGCAATGTCAACAGTCAACAACAAAGGACTGCAAAGCTTTAGAGAAACTCCTCTCCATGGTCTCCATACATGCTCATCCCGGTGGTGCTGTTCTTCTGAGGTGACTTCTGAAGCAACCTCTCCAGGACTTCATGACAGCTTCATACACTGAATTGATAAGTCGAACTCAAGCCCCGTCGGTCCATCTGCCTCGTGCTGAGTGGCAAAGGCAGCTGTGCGGGCAAGCACGAAGGCAGCCTCTCGAAGAACCTCCGTGTCACCAGCGAAGCTTCGCATGGCCTCGATGACGTTCTGAAGGACCTGCATGGCATGCTGTGCCTCCGCAGACTCCGCCTCCTCCCCCTGGCCCCAAGCCAAATCACTCAAAGACCTCAGAGTCTGCTTCACCACGTCGGGGTTGGAGTGGGCTCGGAGTGTTCCGAGTAAGGATCCGAAGCCATGGAGCTGCTGTACAGCCCAAAGGCCCCAGTACAGGACACGCCCATCATTCTGGGACCTTTGCAACACTTGCTCCAAGATGGCCTCAACCCGACGGCTGTGGATTTCCCCGGAAGCGCCTCCCCTGCAGAGCTGAGCAATCAAACGAACCCCCTCTTGCTGCAGCTGTAAGCCTTCCCAACTATCTTTGGAAGGTTGCGACTCGAGGACTTGCAAGAGCCAGTCCCAGCCGTTAAGCTGGAAGAAAGCCACACGCAGCTCTGGAAGGGCAGCTAGGTCTCCAAGCAGTTGCATGCCCAGAATCAGCAGGTCAGTTTCGGTGGGATGTGCCCGGAGTGCATCGATGATTACACGGGTGAGGGGTACCGGTGGGCATTGCTCCACCTCTTGCCAACGTTTGCTTGCCGTGATCCGTAGAGTTTGCAGAGCCGCTCTCGTGCCTGGTGCACTGGGTCTCAGGTGCTCCAGGGCTTGGAGCAGCGCTGCCATTCCATGAAGCTCATCCAGTACCGCCAATGCCTCTGTTAGCAGGTTCTCTGTGCAAGGATGTGAAGTCATGCTCCGAACCAACACTTGCTCGACGCCAGCTCGTTGGATGATGTTCTTGGTGGTTCCTTTGGAATCTGCTACAACTGCTTTCAGGAAGCTCACGCCAACCTGTTGCACTTGTGGGTCCGCAAGGCCACTTTGCATCTCATCTAAAACATGGACAATTGCAAGCCCAACAACCTGCTCCAGGGCTTGTCTTAGGCGCACAACGGCGCGATTCGCGACTGGCTCGTGAGAGCTGTAGTAATAAGCTGTATGCAGCCCATGCAAGGCACGAAATAGATCAAGAACGTCGTCGGCTGGCTCAGTCATGGGGCACACACCAGGAGCCTAAGCAAGTGACGGACTTAACACACTAGGCAAACATCAAGTCTTGTTGCATTTATGCTTTCGCAGCTATGCATTTAGGGCGACGTGGCTAGGCGCAGACCTTTGCTACGCAAGTCTGAGCTGTGAATACGGCGAGTTCAAGGTGCACATACGCGCATTCCGCTCTGCTTTTCCTTTGTAGCTTCTGTCTTTCAAATTTCTTTCCGTCTGTCCAGCGAGCCTTAGGCAAAGGGGTCTTCGCCCGAACTGATGTGCGCTCGCATCTCTTGGACCTTATTCGTTACAAGGTAGCACTCGCCGTGCAAACTCCCGCATAATTGAACCGTCGCCACCGGTGACAGCAACAGTCTGCAGCTGCAAATACCCTAAACCCTAAACCCTTAACCACTATCACTATCAACCGCTTGTGTTGTCGGGTCCCCGAAGCAAAATTAAGTCATCGGCCGGCCCTTCACCTCCAGCTGTCCTGGAACTCTCTCTCTCGCTCTCTCCCGCCCTCCCAGTCACACAACGAGCTTTTCTGCGCCTCCGACCTGACTATTATTTTCTGTTATTGTTATTGTTGTTAGTACTATGACCATTATTATGTTTATAAGTAGTGTTGTTATTACGACTGTTACTAGTAGCATTAGATTCTACTGCTACTGCTGCTGCTACTAGAAGTGATGACTATGTTTCCACCCCTGGGCAAGAGGAAATAGCTTTCCTGCTTCCGCCGGACGGCGCCGGGCAAACCACCCTGTCTCTGAAATGATACAGTAGAACCAGATGACAAAGTGAGGTGGGCGGTGGGAGAATAGCCCAGGAGGGCGGGGTGTGTCTTTGTCTTTGTATGCGTGCACCCGCGCTCGCGTAATGCCAGCAAGTCTTGGCCGGCTCACTCAAGCTCAAAGCTGCACCGGCCAGCCGAGCGGGATGGAAGTCGATTTTGGCAGCCACGATCCAAGGCGAAAGCTGGATGCATTGCTTATTCGCCAGCGCACGAAGCCCATGAAGGGGTGCATTTCAACTTGGGCGAGCTTTGGAGGAAATGAGAGCTACAGGAACCTAGCCAAAGAATAGGGCACCACTACATGCAGGGTTTGGGTGGCGATCTGTCTTTGCTTTGCTGGCCCTCGCTGGAACTCCTTTACGTCGAATGGTGAGCATTTCAACCGCGTTGAAGCGCTGGGGCGGCAGGCTTCGTCGACCAGCCCCACCCATGGTTCCACCTCTCAGCGTTGCGGTTTGTCCTGGCTTCTTTCTCTCTATCGCTGGTGTTTCTACAGACGTCTGCGGCGGTGGCCTTTGCACTTCAAGCCCAACTGCCTCGGGGGTGAAGGCGAGCATTGAACCCCGAGCGATCTGTGTGCACTATCAGTTGTCGGCCCACGTTGTGTTGTGCCCTCGTTCCACCCTGTCTCAACCGTGGCCACCATCCGTGTGGAGCATACTGTGAAGGATGTGTGCAGCAGCTGCTTCAGAGGTCAAGCTGGACTCTGCAACTCAAGCAAAGTCTATCACTCCGAAATGAGCCTCCCCCGGTTGCTACTGTTATTTTGTATGATGAGATGCAGCAACGCTGACCCTTTTCTCCAGCTGCTGCAGCGGCCTTGAGCTACAAGGAAGCGCAACCGGACTGAATGGGCATGTGACGGTGTGTCTGTATATGTATATATACATGTATACACGCGGCATGACGTATTGATTTCGTTTCGAATGGACTTTCTGGTCAATCAAGGAAGAGGCAAGTCTGCAGTGCTCTCAAACAACTGTCAACACCTGCGTGCGTAGTCGGGGATGTGTTTGTACTGAAAGGCAGGGCCGTCACTCTCAATGAGGTCGGCTAGCTCTCATCTCGATCGTGCATAAGAAGAGGGAAGACTGAATTCTACCTCCGGTCTCACACATGAACTCATCTCCAAATGGGTAGGTACCTGGCCGCAAAAAGGGCTCTCAGCTCTCACTTGTCATGTTCATGAGTGCACCCTGGTGAGCAGCATGATCCACTGCGGCCCACGCGCGGGTCCGATTTAGCCTTTCTGAAAGCTGCTGCCACCTTCATGTGCGACAGTGAGGCTGCCTCCCTGGACTGACACTAGAACTTAGAAGAACTGAATACATGCTTTTTAAACGAGTAGCCTTTCTTTGCTCAATGTGTGGGCGCACGGACTCGGCCCCGCAGGTTGCTCCATCGTTAAGCCCGAGAGCTTGCGGTAGGCGAACCATGCCTGCGGCACAGTTTTTTTGGGCATTTGGCTCCGCACTTCTCTCCCATGTTTTAAATGTCCGTATCTCAGGTCATCAAGTCTCAGGCTTTTGTCTGCTTGTAGCGAGCCGGGTCAAACCTTGCACCGGAATAAAGTGCAGCTTCGCAAACTCTTAGACTGCCCTTTGGCTGAGAGCTGGACCCTGAACATACAGGAATTGAGTCCGCCGATCGCAGAGCCGGGGTCTCCTGTCAGAGAACCATGAGATGTGGGGAGTTGCAGGGCAGCATCCCACGAGGAGAGCCATCTCGGTTAGGATTCTCCGGGAGCCAAGGTCAGAGCCCCCTTCGTCTACCACATTCAATTCTTGGTTTGTCGGTGTGGAGGAATGGTATCAAAGGGGGGACCTGGTCTGGTTGCCCCCCCTCAAAATCCTGCTGCTGTCTAAGCTGGTCGTGCCGCGACGCGTCGAGGCTCCAACTAACGTCATCATACCCGATCGTTCTCGCACTCAGACTCTGCGAGACAAGAAGCCAGATTCTTCAATGCTTCACCGTTGCTTTCACAAACCGCGCAAGAACTCCGCTCCCGGTTTCGTCTCCCGCCTGGAGCCCGGAAATCTCCAGCGCCTCGTCCAGGTCCAAAGACCCGCCTTCTAGCTGGCCGTTGAATAGCCTGGCAGTTTCAGATGGGTCCAGGCTACGGAATTATTCTGGGTTTAGGGTTTTGGGTGGTCAGGCATGGCGTCGGATGAGGATCTTCGGATGGCTTAGCATTACGAGGGAGAAGAATTTAGCACTTCGGGCGTTTGCAGACCCTGTTGACTGATGTAACCGTCAGAGAGACACGGCCTCTCACCGCCTAAAGTCGGGGATCTCAAGTCGTGCTCGAATGATAGGCCGGGGGCTTTTCTCAGATCATCCTCGGCAAAACAGTGTTTCGACAATCTACGAAATTGTTAGAAATCGAACCAGGACCTGCTGCTATGCAACCAGCCGCAACGGTGTCGAGATGTTCAATCGATATCTCCCGGTGGCCTGTAAGCTAAGTCTCGATCCTTCGCAAATCGAACCTCAGCCATGATGTGCAATCCGTGCTGGCGCTCAGACTAGCATAGTACCTTTATAGTACCATAATAGTACTATTATAGTACTATATTATAGTACTATTATAGCACTATGTTATAGTACGATTATAATACCATTATAGTCAGTACTATTATCGTACTATATTATAGTACTATTATAGTACCGTTATGATAGTACCTATGTTACAGAAACCATGGAGATACCAAGGCTCTGGCTCCCTCCCCCATCTGAATCAGGGTGGAGTCGAAGGTCGCGACGTCACACTCTCCAGACCTGCGCCGTGGTTGCAGGACATGAAAAAACGCCGCCTTCTGAGCCACAGCTTGGTGCTGTACCCGAAGTAGTAGAGGATTCCTGCACAGTGCCCAAGCAGGAGTGAGAGACATCATCCTTCCATGTATAGCACTGCGGTCCTCGTCCAGCGGGCCGCCCGGAGACATCAATGACACCACAGAACATGTCGCCTAGCAAGGCTAACCGCAGCCACAGCGTCATGGACACCGACACGGGCTCGAGCGAGCGCACATCCAGCAGAACACACATGCTCCATACCATCACCGCTGTCTCTACTTCGCATGCTATGCCGTCGCAGCCCAACAACAACAACAACAACAGCAACAGCAACAGCAACAGCAACAGCAACAGCAACAGCACCAGCACCAGCAGCAGCAGCAGCAGCAGCAGCAACAGCAACAGCAACAGCAACAGCACGACGGTGAACAGAATCAAAAGCGATTGCATGAATACGAAGAACGACTAACATGCCAGCGCACCCAGCTGCATTTTCGCGCCTGTTGAGTACAGATTTGTGCCCACATAGGTTCCTGAGCACCGTGCAGGCTTGGATATGAGATCGCATCAAGTTGAATCTCATTCCCAGCTCTGACAAGCAACGGCCGGGGCGGCGACCTCCCTTGCTTTCGATCCCAGCTGCTTGTAGGACTTGCTTTGAAGCAAGTTGCGACTGCATCGTCCTCAATGGAATCAACACCAACCGTAGCTTGTCTAGCGGTCTACCGGTCTGCCGCATCATCTTGCTGTGAGCTGCAGACTCAGTCAGGACAGGCAGCCCCACCCGTAGACATATCCTTCTTGAGCCGACATGCCCCTGCTCCATATTCAACCAGGCATGTCAGCTTGCGTGGAATTCCAGGCTCCGGTGTCATGATCATGCAGGCGCGTGTCAGTCTTTGGAACCTGCATGTTGTGCGTGATTCGGTCTCATGGAGATGATGTGTTTGAGCACTTCTGGAGGAATCATCTAAGCTGCTCGGATCAAGCATTGTACTATAGCTTTCATAAAACGAAGTGCACAGCATCGCCTACCTACGAGAGCAAAAGCTCCTAGTAAAGCTCCCATGGAAGGGCCGTGGCAAGCCCACGATGCACATCATGGAGCGGTGGGAGGCCAGCATCATAAACTGAGGGCCAGCAGACTGGCACACCCGAAATTCCTTCCAGTTGCAATGTGGCACGGGCCATGTAACTTAGAACTTCACAGATGATGCCAGCTTCGCCTCAAGCACGGCAAGGCTTGGACGATTCCAGAGCCAAGTCTCAGTTGAGTTGGACGCAAAACAACTGGCTTCTCGCTTTATGCAATTGCCTGTCGCTTGAATCGAAGTATAGTATAGTATAGTATAGTATAGTCACATCTGAGAAGGCAGCAAAAAGGGAGTGACACGAAAGAGAGCACCGAGAGTCAGGTCACGGCCATGAACTCGCCTCGGGCGACTCGTGGCGTTGTGTCATGAGCTCGGCTCGTCTCGGCTTCCGAGGCCTACAGCACCAGAACTCGAAATCTTGGCTGTTATATCCTATCCTATCCTATCGTGGCATAGTATAGTCTTGTATTCTTGCGTTTGGGATCGTTCATGCTGTTTCTGGCTCTAGGCAGAAGCTACACCCACGATCATCTGCAATCAATAGAAACCGTTAGTCCAGTGATATGCGCGGATGTCCGGCGCACTCAACAGGCCAGGCGCGAAAACCAGGATCTTGAAACATCCTTTCTGTTCGAAGGGTTCTCTGAAAATAAGTTGAGCAGCTTCAAGGGCAGAACTTGCAAGCTGCTCTGTGCACATAGGGCACTTTCGGAGGTGCCTAAATGATATCGAGGACCCCTGACTGGAGCCCAGCGGGGTGGAAACGGTGGCAAGGAAAATCTCCAGCGTCACTATGGATCGCCGTGAGATGTGCGAAGCAGGTCAAGCATTGGCTTGGCATCATAGTGGAAAACATGCCAAAAACTATACCACTGCACAGAGGGCGCCAGCATGGGACCAGCTCTATGATGTGGAGTACGGCCCCCATGGGCGTGGGCTACGACATACAGTGCGAGAATATCGAATAAGAGTAATCAAAGTAATAATAGCGAATAATGGAAAACAACCGATAACAATGGATTATAACACCCTAAACCTGGTCCACATTTTGCGCCGTGAAGTGCCTTGTGGCATGAAGCGTTCTACGTGTCTGCAGCTGCACGAGACCTCGAGACGAGAGGGCAGGATTTGCGCTGGAGGGTTGAATCAGGAATCTGCTTTGATGCACCATCTAGGGCACGGACAGCCAATTCCTGGAAGCAGGACACAAGAACTTCGACAAGAACTTTTCAGCTCAGGGGGTGCCTCCATGGTCGCTCTTCGCCCAACAGCGGCACTTTGCGCTGCCTTTGAGAAGCTCATGAAGCAGCCACCAAGATCACAACTCTTTGTCAAGAGGCCCGGGTTGCGGATCTCTTGCAGCCAGATGGGTTTCAGGGAGTCCGAGGACCAGGGCAAAGCTGGCACAAGGAAGGCCCTGAAGGTCCGAAACTCCCGGAGGACTCTCTGCCTGTCTGGTGGTCTGCTCCACTGCGGCACGGCCTTCCAGAGTGAATGCCAGATGCCGGCGCACACAAACGGAATGGTCGGCACCTCCTGCACAGATGGGGTCCAGGAGACGGCAGTCCATGCTTGCATCGCATCGGCCTGGCAAGGCGCACGGAGCACGAAGCAGTGCGAAGCAGGCCTGTAATTCCACTGGACTGTGCGGCACACCTGCGAGGCGTGCCGCAAGTCACTCACCTCTGCAGAGTCAAAAGCCTCGCAGGCAAGCATGAATCTGGCAGCATGGCTCAGCATGGCTCATCCTGGCGCATGATGCATGGTGCTTGTACAAGCCTCTTCCCGTGTATCCTCCTCCGATGGGGAGACGACATCAACGCAAAACACGTCACCTCGCTGTCAGTCTCGTTTTCGCTTTTCCCTTCTCGCCGCAGAAGGATCCGAACTTGCCTCGGGAGCTGCTGTCCGCAAGCCTCTTCCGGAGAGAAGCATCCTCACAGGCGCCGAGTCCGAGTATACTATACTATACTATGCTTCTATACTGTGCTGTACCATACTATACTATACTATTCTATACTATACTGTACTATACTATGACATAGTACAATATAGTCTTATGATGTTATATAAATAATGATGTAGTACAGTCTAGTCGACCCACCCCTCCCTTTGCTCGACAGGTTCCTCCCTTCCCGTCCTGTCTCGTGGCAGAGGCCGAAAAAGGGCTCTCCTCGAAGGCCGCCGAAGAAGCGGAGGACTCCGAGGAGCTCCAGGTCCCATATGGGTCAGGTACCTCGCTTTTAGGGTTTAGGGTGTAGGGTTTGGGGTTTTAGGGTTTAGGGTTTTGGGCTTAGGGTTTGGGGTTTAGGCTCAGAATGGAGAAGTGCAGGGCACATGGGAAGGTCTCACCCAGGCCCACGCACCACCATCGCTGTCCATGCCTTTCGTCACCACTTTCTTGCATGTGGGCACAAAGGTCACCGTCCAGCCGGGACGGCCTAAAACTGCCGTTCGCTGTCGCGCTGGGAATGCATCGAAAGCCACATCACTGGCTTGACCTGACCGTGTCTACGAGCCGTGCCATCGGGGCAATCTAGCACTTAAGGACTATATTCTGAGTAGCGAGCTCTCTGGCGTCCCTTTGACGGGAGATGCACAGTGTAGGTCAGACATGTCCATGTCGCCTTCCTCGGAACGCTTGAGGCAAGCCACGATGGCAAAGGCTGGCAATGATGTGAAACCAAAATGGTGCCAAGGCTCGTCAAAAACCTCGTCACTGAAGTGGAAAGGCTTCTGAGGCCAGTCATCCTTGACATTGCAATGACCAGCGCAGGGGCCATGTGGCGCTTGCCGCACTGCGTTCAGGCCTGGCTTTCCTGGATGCTGCTGAGATTGGGCTCCACTTTCCGTGACCATGTCATCGTGCGGCCTTGGGGCAACTAATGTTGGCTTCTTACAGTAGGCACCAGCCGGGTCTTACCTGAGGCCACCGCCCAGAGATTCCGAGCCGAAGTGGAGTCGCAGCGTTCCAAGTCCTCGTATGCGCACGTCACATGTTATGTCTCTGTACCCTCCGCTCAACGGATCTCAGCGACGCACCTTCTTCGTCTCGGAAGTCCGAGGACCTCTTATCATGCAGTCATATCCAGTCGAATGCAACATTCAAGAGACCTTTCAGAAAAAATGGCTCCCCACTGTCTTGCAGGCGGCCGCTCGATATCAAGCATGTCCAGCACAAGATCCGACAAGGCCTGCAGGGAGCTTATGGGAAAGTCAATCATTCAGGTCAACCTCAACACACACTCCCACCGTCCCCTGTTGGCTGGCTGTCTACAGACGTAGACTTGCATGTCGGGGCCTCACTGTCGCTGTCCAGGCCCTTGTTGGAAGGCATTGCGCAGGTTGGTCGAAGACGATCGAAAGCCTTGCAGAGTGATCAGATCTTCAAAAGGAGGATTTGTCAAGAAAACCACAAACCGCCGCCTGGTTCAGGAGAGAACCTAACATCATCTGCACATCAAGCTGTTCATGCTGCATGCTAGACTCTGCTAGGCAAACGTATTGAGCTTGCCTGGTAAGTCTTGAGACAAGTCGAGCTCAAGAACGTCGCCATCTTCCCGCCACTTGCAACCTGCCACGATTGCCGGCTTGCTGAAAGCAATCTGGCTCAACGCACCTGGAGCGTGCAAACGGCCTTCCAAGCCGGCAGCCATTGGCTGGAACGGGCTGCTGGGTCTTCCCGACAAAAGCAAGCCGCCTCCGAACACCGCCAGGTCTCATGTAATGTCTGAGAAACTCAGAGTACTCCAATAACATTATGGAAGGCCTGTGGGCTTCTTGTCAGCATGGCCCAGTTGCGCTGTTGCCTTGCTCATCCAAGGATGCAACAGCTCGGCTTAAAACGCGTCCGCCATGTCTTTCAACATAAGGCGATCGATCCTTTGCAGAATGCTGCTGCGGCCCGAATCGATCTCTACTATTTCTATGCGAAACAGAGTGCGTTGCTGCATGTTCGTGGGCATCTTCGACAACAGGGGCACTTATGCTGCACACATGCTCATCCCCGGCGCTGCCTCAAAGCACCTAGGAGTATCTGGTCGCCCCACACCTTCCTTGGGCGGGTCGGCATCATGGAGAATTGCTGGAGCGAAATCCAACCTGACTGTTCTTGTAATACAAACAAAAACCCCAAACTTGCTCGGGCACCTTCTCACAATCGACAGTCTCAGGCTTGAAACTGAAGCCGGTCCTTGGTACTCCGAGCATGATAGGCTAGAAGCTTATCCGACTGCGAATGTCACGGCACGCATCACATAGGTGCCACTGCTGCCTCCTGCTACTGCTACTGTAAAGGTGATGCGTTGGCAATCCACGGAGCGGCAAAGACCCAAGATTGACTCTGTATCACCGCAAAGCAAGGACCATTCCCTCCCTTAAAACACTGCTAAAAAAAACTGCAGAAAACCTTTGGTGCCGCAAGCTTCTCGAAAGCAATCCCATCGTCTCGAAGAGGCGACAAGTCAAGTGAACCCAACCGGGAAGAGTCGGGTTTTATGGCAGACTCTGTGACAGCGAAGTAGTCTTCCAGCAAGCATCCTGAAAAAAAGCGCCCTGGGGTTCCGGGTTGAGAGCCCGACTTCTCTTTCTGCATCCCCTCCAGCGAGCCTGAGCCCTCTGAGCCTGTGCCCTTGCCCTCTGCTTCCGCATTCTTCCGGGGCTTGCTGACTTGAGCCACCATGGAGAGAAGCGCGAGGCTGAAGGCATTGAGAAATGGCACCAGCAATAGCTGGAAGACGGAATTGACGAGAGCACCGTAGAGCCAGTACGTGCCATCCCCTGGAGACACGGAAGATAGAAAGGCAGCTATGCAAAGAACGCTGAGGGCGAGGTACAGCAAGCTCGCAGTCCAGTATAAGCACACTCGTCTCCTCCACTGCTGGACCCGAAGCCACTCATCAGTCGAGTCCCTTTCCTTCGACCAGTCGTAAAGCTGTAAGCGCCGGAGAAGAACCACGACACATTGCCCAAGCAAACACGAGATCATGGCAGCAGACAGAGGCTTCACCAGAGCTTCTTGGACCTCGCAGGCATTCTCCGGAGAATACTTGAAAACGATGCCCAAGCTCTGCAGCACGAAGACGTTCAGCGCCATGGGACCCATCAGCCTGCAAGAGAATAAGATGACGACGGAGCAGCGCGGATAAAAGAGGCTGCTGGCCAGGAGGCCGGTGCCAGGATGAAGGGCTGGAAAAAGCAGCAGAAATCTGGCCAGGAGGCTTTTGGCTCCAGTGAAGCTGCAGATGGCAGAAGTGGCCGAGGCAAAGAGGTCCTTTTCCTCTGCGAGGTCCAAGGCTGCACGGCGCAAAGGTGTGGGATCACGGTCAGTGGGGTCCTGGGCCAACACAAGGCTGAGGCCTAGCGTGTCCACGTCCACCCCCACATGGAAGGCTTGGAGGCACCGGAAGCAGTAGATCATCACCCGCTCTAACAGCGGGGGCTCGGAGTGGCTTTGCTTCTTGAAGCTTTCCTTCTCCCTCTTCTCACTTTCTAAGTCGTCCTCTCCAAGCGGTGGCGCCGAAAGGAGCTCCCAACTCCACTTCGACAGGTCGCTCCGGGCATCCCGGCTCAGAGCGACCAAAAGAGCGATGATGCTCAGAACCAGCACAGCCCAGAGTGCCGATGCCGCTCCCTGTCGCCACCAGCTGGAGTTCTTCCCCAAAGACTCAGTGGAGAAGAGAAACGTCTCACTTGCACAATCGAAGGCCTCATTGAAGTCCAGCTCTGCGAAACGCATTGCGGCAAAAATGCTCAAGTGGGTCGTTTGGCAACTGATAGACGAGGAGCCATCCGGCACTCTGGACACACCTTCTCGAGACCATTTAAGCCTCTCCGGATCCCAAAAAACACAGACGGCATTGCGGTCGTCGCCGCTGAGCGAGAGAACGATCGGCTCTTGGAGGGTCTTTTCAAGTGGGTTGCCTGAAGAATCAAAGAGCGACAAGCTGAGCGGCACAGCCGCGAGATCTGTCTCATTTTGCGAGGTGCCAGCACCAGCAGCAGATAATAGCCTTGTCATCTCGGAACTAAGTGGCCCGGCCGTCAAGGCTACTACGCCCGACCCCAGCTGCTGCAGCACCGCTTGGGGGACAGAGACGTTTCCGGACTCTCCCGTGCGAAGCTTGAATGCGTCAGATGTCCTGGATGGCTTTAGCACTGCCACTGTCATCTCGTTTCCATCTGAACCAGTTACAGAGGACACCACTGTGCCCTCGCCTTCGCCCACCTTTGACAAGAACTGTTTCGCCAATGTCTGTTCCTGCTGCAGAAGAGCGACAGCAGCCACCCTCGACACTTCCAGAAGCTTCGACTTGTTCACCCAATCATCTTCCAGCAGATCAAGAGGAGACAACACGGTGGAGGTGCTCGTAGAAGACGTGGTGGATGATGTGTGTGTCACTGCTGCGCGCGTGCTGGTGTAGCTTCTGCTAGATGTTTGAGACACAGTGCCTGAGGTCGTGGAGGTGACAGTAGTCGTCAAAGTGCTTGTTGTGGCTGTGCTTGTCTTTGAAGTCTCTGTGGAAGTCAAGGACAACGAGGTTGAAGTGGAGATGGTTGACGTCTGCGATCTGCTACTTGTGCTGGTAGCTGTGCGGGTCCCTGTCCTTGAGGTGCCTGTGGTCGTGGTGGATGTTGTTGTGCTATGTGTCGTACTCGTAGATCTGGTGACGGTCGTGACCGTTAGTGTCGCACTTGTGGTCTCGGTGGAACTTGTACTTGTCGTAATTGTTGAAGATCTAGTGAACGTGCTGGTCGATGATGCTGTTGCTGTGGCCGAAGCTGTTGTTGTGGTTATCGTTGTTGTAGTTATCGTCGTTGCGGTGGTGGAAGCTGTTGTCGAGGTCAGCGTGGTAGTTCTTGTGAACGTCGTGTCGGTTGTCGTCGTCGTTGCTGTTGCTGTTGCCGTTGTTGCTGTGTGTGAAACTGATGTCGTGGAAATCGTCGCGGTGCTGGTTGCTGTTCCAGTCAAAGTGGTCGTGACTGTAGTTGTGTCCTGCAGGCAGGGCTAGCACTGTATGACGTTCAGCAGCTGGCCCACACATGCCCGACGTCAGCGGGTCCTCTATTTTCGGTGGTCTGGTCGTGTCCTGGCCAAGCTTCGCACACAGTGGAAACAGCACAACACGGAACCTCTGCGCAGCAACGTCCGTCCCAGGTCGATCTCAACTAACGCAGGATTGTGGCTCAGACTGGGCTCAGAAGCTGGGTCAAGAGGTCCTCTATCTTGAGCCTCCGCATCAGGGCCTGACGTCGACAACACAGTTCACACCAATTTGGAGGGCTGCGGTCAGGCGTATTTGCAGGACGCTCTCTCCGGTACCGGCTTATTCAGCTTATTGTAGCTTAGGAGCTGAATCATGACATTGACCCACATCTGCGCTAGTGGTGTCGCACAAACTCGGGGTCTGGCCGTGATGTCGTCACCTGGATCGGATGCCGTCCTGTGGCCGCGCTGCGCACATGCAAATGTGCTGAGCTCATGGTCGAAAACTGTCGAAACCAGCTTGAAACTCGAGACGCCATTTACACCTCCTGCGACTGCTTCTTTCTCATTGCGACAACGCTAAAATGCATCATCGATCGAGAGCTGGTGGGTTCAACATGTAGCAAACAGCAAGAACCCGAAGGTTCTCGCGGCCATGCCGGCATCTTGAAGGCTTCAGATGCAAAGGAGAGCATACCGAAAAGGGCGCCTTTGAAGATGCTGAGATCCACGTAGACCTTGTCAACTGCAATGCAGCACAGAATAACAGATGTGCAAAGGCTGCAGAAACTGCTACAAAGTCATCATGTACTCATCAAGTCGGAGGTGTCTCACTGGCTGAAGCAAATCTAGAGATGTCGTTTGCAAAACTAGTGATCCAGGATTTCTCACTTCTGAGAACATGGCTTCCAGCATCTGCGCAGACGGCGAGACCCGAAACCTTAAGGTGGCAAATTCACACCATTTCGCTTGCCATCGGAGCCTTCACCAGTCGAGCCAAATCGTGCCACTGGCTGGGTTGCTAAGTGTCCAGCTACTGCTATCAGGAGCCATAACCTGCCGAAACAAGACCCTGCGAAATCACGCAGAAGCGAGAATCCACACGTTTGAAGGAAGAACGTGTCATAATGTGTCGTCACGTCATCGGTAGTGGCCTCACGGTCACAATTGGACCGCAGTTCGTGGTAAGTCGTCATCACGAGAACATCACGAGCATCAAAACAACTGTTTTTCAGTAGTCACAATTTGCCTCTTTCCCCTCGTTCTATCCGAAATGAGTGCTTTGTGTGCGTGTGTGTGGGGGACTTTTGGCAGTGGAGCGGTCTCTCTCTGGGTCTCTTTGCAAATTTAACCTGCATGCCTCCAGCGCATCCAACTGAGCTTGACCTGGCTTTGGAGGATTGCAAACTTGATGGGCCGCAGGCAAAACGCAGATGACGCAGAATCTGAAACCTCTGCACAGGCAGCTACTTGTATGTGACAAAGACATGGCTGCAAACGAGTATGAGCTCATGAGCACGTGTCTTAAGTCAAGCAAGCCAGGATGGCTGTGACACCCGCAGCTACGCACGCATTCGGGCCTCCAGTGCAGATCACACAAGACTAGAGCAGACGTTGTAATCGACACAACAACCTGAAACACTGAACTCTGCGGCTTTCCAGCAGCTCCCAGCACAAGAGATGAGATCACCTGCATGCCGCGGTCTCATCGCGCGATGCACACGCTCCGCAAGAGCACAGAGGAATCACAAGCAGGGCGGCCTCCTATCGGAGCCAGCGCAGTGCTGCTCGAGGTGTAACTAAGGTGCTACCTATCTCAGGCACGAAATGCCAAGTAAGACTGTGCTGGCAGCTTCATAGGCACTTCCGTGCAAGTGGAATTGCTCCGGAACTAGAAGGTACAGTTGAGCATGTCTTGAGCTTGCTGCTATCGTCATGGTGAGGAGGAACCCCCTTGTACAGCTGGCAGGCAGCCGGGCAGCGGCGGGCAGCTTCGGTGCTCGAGGCGGGATGGTTGGAGCAAGTCTGAGAGCGAGCTGAGAGAGGAGCTGAGAGAGAGAGAGAGAGACAGACAGAGAGAGAGACTGCAAGGGCTTCCGGCACAAGAACTGCCATTAGGCAGGCTGAGTCTGGTCGACTTCGTCTACCCACAAGCATCGGAAGCATTTTTCCGGATTGCAAATTGCTAACCAAGTACACCTGGTCTCTCTAGTCTAGGTGTGCGCCTGCACACCACCTGCACACCAGTAGCTATAATCAATGTTGCCTCGTTCCGACAGTACGCCCGTATCATGATGGGAATTTTGCGCATGGGTACCAGCTACGATGCACAAGCGACACTTCTGTCGGAGCCAGGTATCAACGGTATCACTGTTCAGTTACTATACAGAAGGACATCTGCTACTTTGGCTCACTTCAAATTCGCACGCAGATGCTCCAGGTCCAGCGCCAGTTTCGGCACCGGAGAACTTGCAGTCGGACTGGGAGGAGGGCTTGGGCATCTTGGGCCTCGGTCTTGTCGCTGGTGCGCAAAGTTCGTTCAAGCACAGACCAGCCCCACCCGGCCGGGTTTTTCCGCATGCAAACTTCGAAGCTAGAGCCGTGTGCATCGGCCAGACTTGACAAAGTGACTTGGATGCCCGGCAGGCCTCCGGGTCGGAGGCGCCGGCGCAGACGTTCCAAGCAGTGCGCCGAGGCGAGCTGATAGAACCCGGGCTTGGGCTTTTGGATGCTTTTAAACTTTATGAGCCTGCAATTGCAAGCTTCCTTTCGCGAATACAAAACTTGGATCGCGCAACGCACTGCGAAACTTTGCCGGATAAACTCAAGCGGCAATCCCGCGTCTTCCCCCTGTTTGCCCGCAAACATCACATGGTGAACATGATTGTTGGCGAATGCATGGATGCTACAAACCCAAGAACTCGGACTCAAGAGCACGCTGTGAAGGGTCATTCGCTCTTTCTGATGCTCTTCCCAATCGTCATCATCATCACCATCATCATCTTCGTCATCGTCATGATCAGCATCATCATCTACCATCGTCACGGCCTTGCATGAATCACCAATCTTTACTTTACGGCTCACGATCCGCCGATGCACAGCTGGCCTTGTCCATCTCCGCTGTACGCCGCCGCCGCATCTGGCAGAACGCTGCAAATGCCCGAAACCTGAGCGCCGAGCGGAAGGGCGCACCGCCTCTGAATAAAGCATTGAATGGCCAAGATCCATCGTGCGACCCAAACGTTCGCAAAGCAGGGTGAGATTGAAGGGCTGGGAATGCGGAAAACGTTCTGGGCCTGGCTCATGACCAGGGTTTTAATGGCTTCCCACCTGTTGGTCTCAGGATTGCGAGAAGCTGGCACAGCAGACGGCTTTAAGGACATGCATGTTCCTCCGAGCGTGGTGATACTATAGTATACCAGAAAATACTGTATGATATACTGTAAGATACTATAACCACATGCTGCAATGCGCTTGCATGAGACCCCGCCCGGCGACTCACGGTCTTGCAAGATGCTTTCGACCCACACCACCCCTGTGCGGAAGGCTGCTTCGCGACTCATGCTCAGGAATTTGCGGTGTTTTCACACAGGACTCCATCGGACTCACGCAGCACTGTTCTGATCCCCTCCACGTCGCAGTGCTTGGGTCGGGGTGCGTGAAGACTTCCAGTTGCACTCAGCCCAGCTAGAGTCGGCTGATGAGCAAAGCGCCACCGGCGACTGAGGGGCCTCCAAGACACTCTCTGATTAAGTGGCCAACCATGCGAAAGCAATCGCGGCGGGTCCTGCATGCAACAAACACGGCCAGGAGCGCTTGAAGCTTGAGTGGGCTTGCGAGGACCTGCTCTGCTTCGGAGCAGTTGGCCGAGGGAGGCCCTGCACAGGGCATCAAAGCGCTGCACCAAAAATCACTTGTGGATGGGCCGGAGCCTGTTGAGACTTGAACCCGGCTCCCCTGACCTAAATCAGGCAGTTCGTACGTGAAGGATCACGGAACACGCTGTCCGTCAAGGGCACTGGCAGAGATGCGGCTTGAGCCTTTGCCTGCGCGAGGGTGGTGGCCTGCTTGCGTCGCAGTGCCTGCAGTGCGAAAACACCGATGCCCAAACTGAAGCGCATGGGTCACGCACGCATGCTTATGTCCCGGACCTCAAGGTCTGAAAGGGTCGCTGTCCACTTGGCATACCAGCCTTGACTTTCTGCCTGTCAGGAGGAATGAAGGGTTGAAGGATAGAAGACATCAACGATCACGCCTCAGCTCGGCTAAGTTCCGCTAGGAGGTTCTTGGAATAGTCCCAACCTCACAGTCTGCGAGCGACTCCATGCTCATGTCCACTTAGGGCACTTGCTACGTCTGCCAACTGCGAGACTATGAATGAAGGTGTCAGACACTCGCCAAACAGCGTCAGCGGCTTTTGAAACACTTCACCAGCGAGCTGGTAAACGGAAACGGCATTGCGTGCATGTCCAAACTACTGCCCCGGCACTGAAGTAACTGCCTGGTACATTAACAGTTGACGGCCGTGCAATTTGTGCACAAACCGTCTCGAAACCAAAATCTGAGTCGACCGGCTAGCGCACAGATCAAGCATCTCACGCCGGCCAAGTCCACTCGTCACAGTTTCGACTTGCCTCTGGTCATCTTGAGAGCAGGCTTTGAACAATCCTAGGCGTAAGAAGCCCACCGCTCTCCAGAGAAATAGTGAAACCCATACGGAATATCTGGAAACCTAGGAATTCGATGTAGGGGCTCCGAACCATGTTCCATAGTAGATGATGGCATTCTGGGATAGTGCCGAGCGCTGGTCTCGACGAAGCTTCACAAGTCATAAGCTCAATCGTCTGCAAAATAGACATCGTTTATTGTAGTGTCGGCCGAGTATGAGCAAAGCAAGAGCACATAGGATGCTTCGCGCAAGCGCACGATTTCGAGCCAAGTTGAGAGCGCGCACCATGCGAGAGCCCCGATGAGCCCTGCACGGGTGTGTCAGTGTGAGCACCCGGCACCGATTTTTCGAGCCGTTTCTGAAGACAGCATCGAACAAACTGTTGGAGAACCGAACGAAAATAGAACGATGCACGTGAATGGCACCGAATGTTCAATGAACCCACGTAGCTCAAACAGGAAAATGGTGACGGCAGCAAAGGAAACGGCAAGGAGCACGCAGCACAACCCTCTTGAACTTCTACCAAGCAGCTCTGTGCTTGCAAGTTTTTCGGAATGAGTTGTACTAGTAGCTTCGCTTCGGGCCGGAGGGTCATACAGAAAGACGTTCGTGCCACTATGCTCACGTAGCTGCTGCGGGACTACACAGAGGGTTAGATTTAGGAAAATTGGGAGGAGATGAAACCAAGGTTGATATCCTGGGGGGCCGTGTTGGGGGGTGGGAGCTTGCCATGGCATGGGCTCCCACGCATCACCCCCTGTTGACCTGCCAGGCCGTGGTCCATGAGAGCTTTGCCGACTCTGAGTGGGGCCGCAAACCCACAAGGGCAGGCTTCGGCTTACGAGTAGGGTTTAGGAGCAGGGCGTGCTAGAAAAGTCTACACATAGACATAGACCTATATGATCCCGGTTCTCGGTTCGTCGACCCCCCCCCCCCATGGCATCTCCCCCCCGGCACGCCCGGGTCCAAAATGCCGAATCCCTGTGACTGCACGCACTTCTCCCACATAGCGGCTCCAAAACCATCAACTGTCACGACGATCTCGTCCCAAACATACCCGATCCTTGTGACAGTGGACACTTTCCACCCTGGACTCTGCCGGGAGGGTATTGAAAATGCAACGGTTAGCCGGATCGCGTTCCTGTCAGGCCCGTTTCCTGTGGGGTGGGGAGGGGGGAAGGGGTACCAATTTGGGGGAGGGGGGGGGGGGCCGGCCGAACCGGGACCATATACAATCTGTATGTATGTGTATATATACATATATATATATATAGAGAGAGAGAGAGAGAGAGGGAGAGAGAGACAGTATCAATAATATCTGAGTATCAATTCATATAAACACTCTACCGAAGCTGGCAATGATCCTCAATCACAAGTGCTGCCGCTGCTGCTGGTGCGCTTTGCCAGGCTCATCATCGCCTTCACCGTCTCAGGATCGGCCTGGGCACAGGCAGTCCACGATGAAGGCCACGATGAAGACATTCCGGGCATGACTTTCTGGCTCCAAGCTTCGACGACCTTCTTGAAAGCTTTCAACTCTTCCTCCGTGATGCCATCAATTCTCGCCACCAGGTCCTCTCATAGCTTGTGCTACATTGACATGTGTGTGCCTGTGCGCTGCTTGCGGCGACTGAGCAGTCCTTGTTCAGCAGGCGCTTCGACTCCCGGAGTGCGAACCTTGATGCTGCGCCAATGTACCCTGCCAAGAGGCCCCAGTCGCCCCTGGGGCCCTAAAGCAAGCCAAGGGACTGTGGCATTGCGGCCAGCTTTTTCGCAGCTTCAATTGCTTTGGTGAGCACCTGCACACTCGCCACATCAAAAGCCCGAAAGACTGCGGACGGCCACAATCGTTGAATCGTCCTATAGTCCACACATACGTATCCGAGCCTCTTCCGGAGCTACCACTGCTGTGCACAGGCCCATCCTGCAGTTGACGAGAATTTCCTTTGGATCAGTTTGAACGCCACATTGCCAGCCAGGCGGCTCTAGAGCTTCCTTTGCAGAGAACTCTCTGCCAAGCCTTTCCGTATAAAGCAGAGTCCCAAAGGCCAAGAGCTGAAGTCTCTGAAGTTTAGGTTGGGAGCTGCAGGAGTTCCTTGGCCCGCACCAGGCCAACCACCTGCGGCCTCGGGTCCCGAGATCGGGGCAGGCATCGTCGCTGAAGCAGCATCCAATGTGGGGGTTGCCGAAAATAGGGCACCCTAATATAGTACCCTGAATAGTAGGATCCTTATTATAAGGGCCCCAAAATAAGGAACCCTAATTTTCGGAAAGTCCCATGTAGCAAAGGAGCAGCAACACGGACGAGCCCAGCTCTGGTGTCAGCCCCAGCTCACCGAACGGATAGCGAAATACTGCATCCTTCGGTCCGCACACCAAGCAGAAAGCAAGAAAAGCACGCATGCTTTGATCCAGCCACTCGTTCTTCGAGGTATCGCATCTCCAAGCAACTTTCCGGGTGGATCCCAAATCTGTGTGCGGTCCTGGCTGACGTAGACCTTAACTCAGAAGATAGGTGCAAAGAGAAGACGTTCGGTGCCAAGCCTGGCGAATTCGAAAGCCAAAGCCCAGGCACAAAGTCCTGCCAGACCAACGCCAGGTTCACGCCTCCGCCGATGGCCATTCCATTAACCGCTGCAATGGAAAGCTTTGGCAGCTTGATCATGGCCTCTGACTCTGCTGCGGCGGAGGTCATGTCACAACTCCTCCCCGCCCACCCCTATTGACTACTCTCGCGACTCTCAGCGCGCCCGTGTCGGGCCAGACAACGAGATGTCCGGCAGCCGGGTTGCAATGCCTGCCTCAGCACACTCACCGGACCGCAGAACAAGCGACTCTATCACAGCTCATGGATGCTCGATCAACTGCGAAGCTGCTTAGTTTGTCTTATGAAGCCAAGCTGCGCGGACATAGCCCTCGTAAACCTGTGGGCAAGGCCCCCATCAACAAAAGCGCAACACTCGCGGTCACTAGCAGAATACGTGACTCTGTGGCACCTCTTCCGGAACGGTCGTACTGGCATCTGTGAAGTTGCCACCCGCACTGAATGCTCGTCCGGCACCTGTCCACCTTGGCGCTCGAGCACTCGTGGCTGGAAAATTGCTGGGCACGGTCTGGCGAAGCTGCTGCTGCTGGACTGAGCAACGCGCACAATGACTTTGCATCGCTCGTCCCTCTTCACATGCTCCTGATATCGCAGTGGGTCAAGACTTCTGTTAGCGCAGTGCTATGGTCGCAGGATTGCGATTTATGCATCGCGCAGTTTCAGCCAGGTGGCGAGCAATAGGGACACCTGCTCTCCAGCATGCGTCTGCAAAGCATTGAGCCGGCAACCAAAGTGTGACCCCCAAGAAGGACGCCTCCTGTGCCAGATTCAAGCTCATGCAGTTGAGCCGTGCGGGATCATTCAGCGTGATGACGAAGACTCCGTTGCCTGCCTAAGCACGGCTACAAATCGCAGCTTTGGGCTTCGAGTCTCGAGGCCTCGAAACGCCAAGTTGCATCTTGGTACATGATCCGACTCATCTTGTAGGGCCTGGCAACTTGACAGCGCGAAGGCCAGACTGTGTGCGTGTTGCTCAAAAAAGAAGGTTCCCGCTTCGGGGGATCCAGCGCAGACTCCCCGGAGTAGTAGAGTAGGATCTCTTCCGCTTCGCCCAAGGCCGCCATAGCTTTCCAGGCCAGGAGCCACAAGCCGATGGGGCAAATAGCCTGAGCCTTACACCTGCAAAAAAGCCGCTAACCGTTGGCTCTGAAGCGGAGAGGCCGCGGCGGCAAGAAACAAACGAAGGACCCAGAGTCAGCAGACAGGCACCGGGCTGTGCTGTACCAGCTCCCTGGAGCGCTTGAAAGAGCATTCTTCCAAAAAAAAAAAAAAGAAGCAGAGATCCTCAAATCTCTCTCTTTCGGAAAACTCCCGCCTGCTCTTCCGAATTCCCTCCACCGCTGAGGCCAAGTTCCGCTCCAGCTCCTGGCGCCCCGCTGAGCGGCAACAAAACGAGAGAACCCTCGAATCAGACAAAAACTGAACCCGTCTTCCGGCGATACATAAAAAAGGGCTGTGGTGGCACTGGCATGTACTCCTGCGCCTGATTCAGCGCAGCAGCAAGGAGGTCCTTGAACCATGACGGGACTGGCTGCGATTCAACTGCAAGATGGGGCTCGAGAAGCATTAGAGTTAGAGGACGTCCTGGATGAAGCTTGAAAGCTTGAGCGCGCTGCTCGACTTAACCTCAGCTCCATCGGAGCATGATGGCAGAATGGTCACAAGAGTAGAAGATGGACATATGAGATGGAATTTCCTCATCTTTCGACAGTCTCCAAGCTTCCAGCCTCTCTTTGCAACAAGCTCATCTGCTCCACTGCGTCGGTCAACAAGGACCTGAAACGGCATCGCTGGAAACTAAAACCTGGCATGTGTCCGGACACTCTGTCGTCACCCTCCGATGTCTGCTTCTTGGGTGGTAGGCCTCTAGAGGCTCACCCTTCGTCTGATCTTCACGTAGCCTCGTATCTAAGAGTCTAACCATTTCTGATAAAGCTTTTTTGTGATGCTGTGACATGTCTCGGTTTGCTCCCATGAGACCTGTAGTGAGAACATCCCTTGAACTGCTAGTCCTGCTCTTGCTTCCTCCGATATGAATGAACCACCGGTTGTCTTCGCCAACGCCGTGTGCTCTTGTGAAGCTCTGCCACTACAACGATGTACCGACGGTGTGCTCCACAATTCTCTAAACAGGCGCTTAACCTGTGGCTTTATGAGCACTCCCAGCTTTCGAAGAAATAACTCCACAATGTGCCGATGCAATGATGCAGTACATCAAGTACTGCATCGATCCCTTTGAATGTTGTCAATGAACTTCGATGTTTACAACGTGCCGACGAACCGCCACGTCATGACTTTGCTCGTGCCGGCAGTCACAGAGGCAAACAAACCTGCGTACAAAGATGATTTCACCGACCATCCTGACAACGGCGGAGTGTCGCGGAGTCAGAGAATCCCAGAATAAAATCCATTCCACAGGCTAACGCGCATTGATAGTTATTTCGATGCCATTCGTTGATGATTTGTCAGGAGAATGCTGTCGCGGCATTGAAGCATCCTTCGCGGTCTGCATACATGAGCCACTGCGGTGTAAGCATTTCCGTCCTCAATACACTGTTGTGGTGGCTAGTATTTCTTTGCAGTGGCTGCTCTTCGGGAACTTCTTGGATGGTTACTGTTGACTTGATGTATGAAAATGCTTCAGCAACTAAACCCGAAGTGATTTGGTCTCCGGGAAAGTGAATGACCCACCGAAGCTCGAACACACAATGCATGCCAAACCACTATTCGCATTTCTCTCATCGCACGGCTGCTGTTGATTCATTTCAACAGACGCTCTCTGCATCTGTGAAGCCTTGTCAGCATCTCTGTTCATATCACCTCTGTGATGCTGCCATCTGCTGCTAGTTTCTGGATGTCGGCTACTGCATTTCTGTCGGCGCCGGGCCGCCTCTACTCGGTATGCAGATTCAGCGAAATGCTGAGCCCCTGGCACCAAGTCTCCCTTCTCTGGAAAGGTGAGCTGGACAGGCGGAGGTGATGATCGCAGCGACGACTGCAGTGATGACCGCAAGGTTTGCATCGCTCTGTGTCGGTCTTGATCTTCTTGAGCATCGTCCTGAGGGAAGGGAACGTTCGAGTCCCCGGCAGCCTTAACACGGTCTTCGACACGACAGGCCTCGTCGTTGTCGTCCGATGAGAGAAAGCTTTGTGGAGATGGGAATCCTTTGCTCCCACCTGGTGCCGCTCTCTGGGGCGGAGCTCGAGTTCTCGTTGCAAGGGCACCTTGTGCAAGCTGAAGACAGTCCGGTCGGTCAGACGACAGATTCGTCCCAAGCGATGCCTTATCGGAGCAGATCTACCACGATTTACTCGGAAATAAGAATAAAACCACCGAAACCCCGTGGCATTCCATGACAGCACAGGGGAGGTTCACACTGAGACGCTGGCAGTTGGAGAGTGGCTCAGGTCCTGAGCGAGTCAGATTTCACATGCGACGCTGAAAAACGAGTCTGAGCCTGCATGGGGGACGCAACGTCTCAGCCAGCAGCGGTAGCCTTCATGAGGAACTCTTCAAAGCTCGGGGCAGGGCACTCACCTCCGGGCTCTCCCCGCACGAGAGCTTCGTGGGCCCCTTCAAAACCGAACCCTCGGAGGAGCGGGCCCAGAGCGCCCTCCAGAACCCAGAGGCATGCTGAAAGTTCGGCATCGTCTTTGGGAGGGAGATCTGGGTCGCACACTGTCTTATCTACTAGTTTCTACCCCGACTCTACGACGAAAATACCTGAGCTCCGAGCCCAAGTGCGACAGACCTTCTGCCAGCTCTTCTGCCGAAGGAAGGACGGTCACCTGGTTTTGTTGGGGATTGAAGCAGCTGCTCTAATGGCGGGCTGGCTGTAAGGCAGAAACCACCCCGGCCGTGGCCAACCCAACGATGTTGTCGTAAATTAATTGCAGCCTCGTGGACATGGCAGTACCGCGGAAAGAGAATGATATTCAGATGTTCATGATACTCCACATAAGGGCACTTCTTGACCCACGCCTCCCCGCATCATCCACCGTGCCCATGCCACGAGCTCAGGCATGAATTGCGGGCATGTGCCCCGATGACATTTGCACTTCTGTCGGTGATGCCTACAAGGATCGCTTCCGTGAGTCCGCAAAGGCTAGAAGACTGTCTGAGGATGCATACTCAGATGAAACAGTAGATGGTCAGTATCTCGTCGCAATACTCGACCGTGGCCTTATGTGAGCCGAATAAACACGGTCGGCTGACCGCTCGGGACTGCTGCGGAGGTGATCGCACCGTTGTTGCCATCACGCCCGACACTCTTGCTTTTGAAAACATCTGACTTGCGAGTCAGGAAACCTACGGCCTAGGATCCCGTCTTAACTTAAACTGCGGAAAATCCGAAACTATCTACATGCGGCCAGCCCGCGGCAAGAACGGCACTGACGTTGCTTGCATCCGGTTGTACTCAACACAAAAAAAGTCGACAAAACATCTGACAGTGGCTAGCATGTACTTGTACGTCCTTACCGCTCATCTTGTGACACATTGCAGTGACCCAGCCGGCAGCATCGGGATCTGAAATGCTTTGCAAAGGGACCCGTCCGCAGCCGCCTGGAACACAAAGAAGGTGAGAGCAAAACAAGGCCGCGAATTCACGCAGCATCCGCGAAAAGGCCTCTGTTGTAGGCTGGGAAGCTCATTTCACCTGATCCATGCTGGCAGCGCATTTCAGGAAGGCCCCGGGCACCCCAGGGGCCCTATGGGCCTCTCAAGGCCCTGTGTGCCTCGAAGCCCAGGGCGCGAAGCAGGCGGCCACCGTTGCCCTGTGCGCAAGTCTTCTAAAACATCCGCAGCACCGTACCTTAATAATAATAACAATAATGACAATAATGTTAATAATAATGACAATAATAATAACAATAATAATAATAACAATAACAATAATAATCTGAAGAGAAGGGCTCCTTGTGCTCGAGGAGCTTCATGGACATAAACTCAGAAGGCACCCGGCTCGACTCTGGATTCCCAACCCTGCAAGAAGACGTGACTGATGGATAAGGCTTCGGCGTACCAAAAGGTCTCCAGCCATGGGACGACAAAGTGCTGGTTCAAAAGGTCGCCAGAGGGAGCTACACAAAGGTAGAAGCCCCAGACCTTCGTGGAACTGACGGCCAACTAGCAGGACATCGCGGACTCGAGACCAACAGTGGCACCAAGACCAGAACAGAGCAAATGACGCCCCAGTACCTGGGGTCTTGTGTGAACCGCTCCTACCGAAGCAGAAAGGGTAGTGCCTGAGAGCGCAGCTGCGGATCACTAATGCCGATGTTGTAAGGAAATGACGTTGCCCATGGCCTTCGTCCCAGCATGTGCTTTTCTTGGAACCGTCAGCAAATGCCCGAAATGTCGTGATTTGCTTCAGGAGCTGGCACATCATATCCAAGCTGCGACCCGTAGTAAACCTGAGACGATCGGGAAAAACGAAGTCTGCCCCTCAGCTGCCAAGTATCGACAGCCAGCACGATGCAAGCAGTGTGTGACGTAGCGGATAGACTGCTCTAGGCAGCCGGCTCCCTTTGCGCCGATGGTTTTGAAGGTCGCAGAGTTCAGCAGCTGACCCACGCCCACCAACGCCAAGCCCGGACCTTGGCTGCATTCTCTGCGGGAGAGTTGGCGCCAACTGATGGTCGCGGGCCCACCACACTTTTGTCCAATGACCCGCTGCTGATTCCCCGCGTCGCTTCCCTATTCAAAAAGTTGTTGAACTATAGCGGCCGCGAATCACGGAGAGTGGACAACTGACGACTTCGGCGTAAGTATCAAAATGGTCATATTCCATCGCACTAAGTACTCCATGTGCCGCCCGACGGTTCCACTCCAGCCCATCTGAGGTATGCATCGGCACAACTATCCTAACAAATCAAATTACATCGCGTTGTTTCTGCGATGCGGTGCCGAGCAATTCCTCGGCACAGATTTGCGAAGCCGGCGTCGCATCGACAACTCACTTCGACATCTCTCCAGTCTTCTTCGCCACGAAGTTGTATGCCTGCTACGGCAAGGAAGAGCCGGATCTCCGCAGAAGGTCCAGGTCCGCGCCTTCAGACCGTACTCGCCACCCTTCTTGCCAAGGTCGCTGACCTGCGTCACGTAATCGGCATACTCCTCAATGGACCTGAAAGCAGACAAATCAAATCAAATCAAGTCAGACGCCAGATGTGCATGAAATTGTCCATGTCAGCTGCCATGGTTCTCTTGTAGCCAGGCCGCTTGGTCTTCTTCACGAAACTGAGAATTCCGCCGGTGGACAGGCCCCAGCCTGTCAGAAACAGAAACCGCTCGGGGTTCTCGGCTTCCATCTTCGATTCCGATGCAGGGCACCCAAAGCTGCGAAGATCAAGCCCGTAGTAAAGCCGCCAAGGAGGGGAAGCAGGAGGCCGAAGACACCCCAAAACACCTCAGAGACTTTCTGGGTCTCAACAAAGCTCCGGGGTCGCACAGCTGAGTCCCCTGCAATAGAGGCATTGCTGATGTTCTCCTCGTTCTCCTGCTTGAGAAGCTCTGACAATCTTGAATCTCACCTGCCTTTCCTATTTACAGATTCCCCGTCCGGGTACTCCGCCAGGGAAAAGGAGCTGGACCTCTGCACACTGCAACAGCAGGAGCGTTTACAGTCCACTCCATCTCAGTGCTGTGCTCTGCTGCCAGGGCCACCTTCACACTCAGACGACATGAAGCATTGCAAGCCGCAGCACCACGGCAGCAGGAGAATATCTAGTTTGGACCGTTGCTCCCCAGCCATCAAACAAAACCTCCCGTATCCTTTACTCTTGAAGCAAGTGCCGCAGATCTAGAGGCCAGATGTCGTTTCGGTGGTGGGCACTCCAAAAACAGCGCCTCGTGTCGACAACGCCTAAAGGCCTATTCCAGTGCCCCAAATAAACCAGAAAAGAAACCGATGCAGGCCGTTCGTCTTCAAACCAAGCCAAACCCCGGTGCCTTGGAAGGCAGCTGAACTGACCGCTGCGGCACTCCCGAGACGAAGGCCTGCGAAGGTTTCCAGGGAACGTCTGATCCCAGAGTCTTACCGGACGAAGGCCGCATGAGGGCTGAGAGTGTAAATTTTACGTCTTTTGTGCGTCTTCTGAGAGGCAGCCGAAGTGGCAGCAAACTCCAACACAATCGGATCCAGCCTCGCTTCGCAGCAGAGCCTCCGAGCTCTGCGAGATGCTACTACAATATGTAATACATAACATAACATGCAATATGACGTATAGTATGATAGCAGAAGGAAAACCTATTCAGATGTGTGTAGAAAAAACCGCACAGTTTCTATCCCTATCCCTATCTCTTTCTATCTACCTATCTATCTATCTATCTATCTATCCATCTATCTATCTATCTATCTGCCTATCTGCCTATCTGTCTATCTGTGATGTGTCGATCAATCTATCTATCTATCTATCCATCCATCCATCCATCTATCTATCTATCTATCTGTTCTGTATATATACACATGAGCCCAACTTAGTAATACATATATATATATAGCATATGTATATATATATCATATTATAATATAGTATATCAGATAATGATATATAACATTATGTTATACTGTACTATATTATATTACATTATACTATACTATATTATTATGTTATATTGTATTGTATTGTATTATCATATCATATTATATTATATTATATTATATTATATTATATTACATATTTCATTCTATTATACTATGTTATGTTATAATATGTTATGTTATGTTATGATGTGATATGTTCTGTTATATATTATATTAGTCTAGTCTATTTTGTAATTTGTTATGTTATATATCATTATGCTATATTATGTTCTATTATTTTATATTGTGTTCTATTATGGTATTGTATTATATTATGTTATGTTATAATATGTTATGTTATATATTGTTATGTTATTTTATGTTGTATTATATTCTATTATTAATAGTATATTATAGTATCTTATAGTATATTATAGTATATTATAGCTTGTAGTGGTATATTATATTGTGCTAGACTATAGTACAGTATATTATATTATATTGTGTTATATTCTATCATCTGTTATATTACAGTATATTACTTGTATCCATTATATACATATAATATATATATATATGTATGCCTATCTATTTATACATTTATTTGCAAATACATGTTTACTTATTTATATATGCATACATACCCTGCATGTGTGTATGTATGTATGTATGTATGTATGTACGTATGTACGTATGTATGCATATATATATATGTATTTATTTAAGTATATATTTATATATTTATTTTAATATATGTATATGTATATATGTATACATTTATGTATCTATATATTTATATACTTATATATTTATATGTCTATATATATATATA